TAGAATGGTAAATATCCACATACTTATATTCAAAGCTTAAATTCAAAATTCAATATATTACATGCTTTACAAAATTTCCGTTTTGTTTGCATAATGGCCATTTGCACCGCTATCACTTAAGGGATATTAAGGGATATTCAATTTAAGTGTAGCTTTTGAATGTGACTTTTGTTTCTAACGAGAGTCACATTCAAAGCTCCACTTGGATCAAATATCCCTTAAGTTATAGCGGTGCAAATGGCCGTAAGTCAATCAAAAGTTTTATTTTTCGGAGGAATCATCAATATGATATTGAATGACTTGCCCTTAGAGCAGGTAAAGCGCTGTGCTATGGACATGAAGGCTATGTTCCGATATTAACTGCCAGTACTGGATTTACTGTGCTGATTTTACTGTCATTTGCCGTTCCGATTTCAACAGCGTACTTTTGTAGTCATTCAGTACTGAATCGACTGAATCCAGTGTAATATCGAAACAACGTCCAGTAAATTCAGTACTGACAGTTGATATCGGAACATAGGCGAAGAGTAGGAACGCGCCATTCTGCTATGAAACTGAAAATGAAACCAGTTTTTAGCAGGTGTTTGTACACCAAATGACAGATGAAGCATTAAATTAACTATACCGCCCTTATTTTCGATCTCAAAATACCTGGAAAAAAACGGCTTCATTTTCCAGCTCCATGTTCCTACTCCTCCCACCTAGGAAATCACCTGCTCTAAGGACTTGCCATATGAACATACCTACACCAATTGATCTATAAAATGTCTTCACACTATTTGTGGTTTTCCAAGAAAACCCTCAAAGTATGGGGTTTCTGCCCAATACAAAAAAATTTCTTCTTCGTTGGTTATTATTCAGGTTCTCTTGACACTTGAAGTCAACTTCAAAAAAGGTTATTTGGGGCACCGAGTCCTAGGGCTACGTTTTCGAAATAATCGGCTTTGAAGGTTTTCCAAAATTTCAGACAAAGTTTCAATTTTGAGATAAATGATTGAATTTTATTTTATCTTAAAGAGCTTTTAATGGTGATTAAGAACATGAGAATTTGTCAAATATTAATTGATGTATGGACGATTTTGTGAGGCAATGTCAGATGATCAATTTTCAGGACCAAAATTGCAAAACCTTTCTACTATGGTTTTTGATCAATGTCATATTATTGTGACTTGAAAAAATCTGAGAAATTATATAATTAGGTAAAGTAGTTACGTGAATTTTCGAATGTAATACCACAAGAGGTTTCAGGATTACCGGATAATACTGTGAGACCCCAAATTCAGAAAATTGGCGAGCGGTGACTTTAGTTTCTGAGTCTAGACACAGTTTGAAATGGATCCTATTTGCGGGTGGAGAGTGAAACTCAGAAATATTGTGGTCAATTAAAATAAAGTTTATTTTATTAAAATAAATAATGCTTGTTATTAAATAATAGGCGTCGGTAATAAATAATCTTACAATAAAATTGTTAGATTTCTAATAAGCATCAATTAACTGTTATAGTTCAACTCGATTCTCACTCTTGCCTTCACAATTTCCGGCTGAACATAAAAAACTCTACTTACATTCAACAATAATATATTTCCTGCTGGCCACACCTAATTATACGGAAATCTTATTGGTCGAAGGAATTTACTTTGATTATGATGAACACTTAATAAAAAACTCGAATATTTTCGCGCTGTTATTTCACGTCGTGCTTCTTCTCTCGGTTAATTCGACAACTCTTTCACGCCGTAGTTCTGACTTTCTGGACACAGGTCTCTCGATTCTCGATTACTACTTGTTTCTTGATTACTCAACCGACATTGGTCCTTCACGCCGTAGTTCTGCCGGTTTACTCGCTCTTTCTTGAACACTCTTTTCTCGAACACGGATTTTCTCCTGCCAAAGTTGCTTTTTTATATCATTGGCCCCTCCATTGTCTTGAATTCCTTTATTGTTTCTGACCTCGATTTTTCGTGGTTGAATCACCTGATCAATTAGTGTATTTGGTCCCCTTTCAATTAATTATCAAGGGTGTCGCTAAGTGGTTTGTTAAGTGGGTATCATCATATAGGCTCGTGCATGATCTATTGATCCTTTTAGAATTTTTTTTGGCTCCTTTGGAATGTTAATTGTTGAAAGCACTTAAAGAAAGGTTCATGAACTTTTGCTTTATTCACATTCCAATGTATTAGTTAATATAGAGTATCGGCTTTCAATAATTTCTTGATATCGATGTTCAGATAATTTTTAATTGAAGTTTCTGGTTGTGCTGTCAAATGATGATCTCTCCTGGGATGGTTGTTTGGTAAGTCCTTGTTATTCTTAATTAATTTTCGGTAGTTGGATCCTAGGTCTTTAGTTGTTTAGAATAATCAGAACCTTCAATTGTTTTCTTGGTGGTTTATTTCCGCGTCAATACAATACTTTTATCTGTCACGAAACGCGTTACGCAGCAACACCACGACTCCGAAGGAGGAGTGGTGTTGCTGGTAACGCGTTGAGTGTCAGGTAAAAGAATCAGGTAATCCTGAAACATCGAGTGGTATTCAACAGGTTATACAACGAACTACACTTTAATACACTGTACAGTGTGTCCCATTTTGGTTGTCCATAAGGGATAACTCGGTTGCTATTGGAGTTAGAAGGATACGGTTTCCACGAACGTTGGCTACTTTTTTGTCAAACGAAAGATGGCGCCAACAGAATTGTCATTGCTCTTTTTGTTTTTCAGATACAAGGTATTTTTGAAAAAGTTGTATTTTGGGACACCGCTTGTATCTCGGTTCTCTCATAAGTGATCGAAAAGTTGACAACGGTTTCTTATAGAAATTTTTACGTAGCTTCCAGTGGCGTAGTCAGTTTTTCTCTAGAAGTGGTATATTTCAAATTATGAGCCAAACATCAGTTTTTTCAAATGAGACACCCTATATATTATAAGTTCATTGGATAGCTCTGCTCTTGCTGATTTCAATGATATAAAACTCGATGGGTTTATCTCTGACAGTTTTCGAGCAAAAAATGTTTTTCTGTTTTTGTCATAAGAAACAATGTGTTAGAAAAAGACATTTCTCATTTTCCTTGCAGATGCAAAGTCCTTTTCTAATACATTGTTTCTTATGACAAAAACAGACAGACATGATCAGTGGCGCACCCAGAAAATATGTTTGGGGGCCCTACATAGATTTTAGCTTGTGACAAAAAGCAAAAAGGGTGCCTGCCTTGATGTTGCTACATTTGATATACGTGAAAATACAGTTTTAGAGGGGTGGCCTGGGGAGGGGGCCTGGTCCGATGCCCCCCCTTGGGTGCGCCACTGGACATGATAGAGATTAACCAATCGAACTTGATATCATTGAAATCAGCAAAAGCAGAGCTATCCAATGAGCTATTAATATACAGGGTGTCTCATTTGAAAAAACGTATGTTTGGTTCATAATTTAAAAACCATCTTAAAAACCAATTGCCTACGCCACTGAAAGCTACGCAAAAATATCTATAAGAAACCGTCGTCACCTTTTCGATCGCTTATAAGAGAACCGAGATACAAGGGGTGTCCCAAAATGCAACTTTTTCGAAAACACCTTGTATCTGAAAAACAAAAAAAGCAATGACAATTCTGTTGGCGACGTTCACGAAAACCGCATCCTTCTAGCTCCAATAGCAACCGAATTATCCTCTATGGACAACCAAAATGGGACACACTGTACATTATTCCCATATGACACGAGAGGCTTAACAAGTGATAAGCCTTTTGGAATTATCGCACTTGGTGGCAATATTTATAGCAAATTCTATTATAGAGAAAAATTTGTTTCATCTCTTGCCACCAAGCGCGATAATCCCAAAAGGCTTATCACTTTTTAAGCCTCTCGTGTCATATAGGAATAATGTACATACAGTGAGTTGTATAACCACCTTAACTTTATCTAGCTGTGCTTACTGGGTTTATGAAGCCTTTGCTATTATTTTCATTTTATGAATCTATTTTTCAGAAGTAGCTAATGAAGTACCTTGGTAGTTAATCAGTACTGAAGCCTCTTATTCTGATGGTTTTTTTTTTCTCAGAAATTTTCTCTGGAGAATAGTTCATAAGTTGGTGAGCCAATCCTATCAGCACTCTTAAAATCTGGTATTTCTGTAAAACATTTCTGTCTCACTTTCCATTTAAGGAAATCAACCACCCTGTGTGTGAACATTACTTCTCAGAAAACTTGGGAAATTTTAGAACCATTTTAAAATGTCCCAAAACATTCAAAAACCGATTTACAATTTTCAAAAGCATTTTAGAATAATTCAGAAAGAAACCTAGTTTAGGACGCTCCAAAACACTCTAGGATTTCCAGAAACGTTTTGAAAACTGCAAGAATCATAGGATTCAAGTTAAGAGTTACAAAACGGTTTTCTGAAGAAGTTCAAGAGTGAATTTACATTGCTGTAGACCTTCCAACCTTTAATAAGTATCCATTTTGGAACAATTTAGAAACTTCAGATTTATTTCAGAACAATTAGGATTCAATTTCGAACTAGAAATCTTTTAGAGCTCTTTTGAACTAATTTAGAACACAAACACTTGAAAATCTGGCAGAACAATTTAGAAATTACTGAAAAACTTCTAGAATACTCCAGAACTCTTCAAGCCAAATAAGAACACTTTAGAACTTCCAATAAGCTGTTTAGAAAGTTCCAAAACACTTTCCAGCAACATTCAGAACAATTTGAAAACCTCAGAAATATTTCATAGAACCTATCGCCTGGAACCGACAAGAATTGAAAGTTAGAGAATGAATAATAATAATGGAATATTAGTCTTGAAGTAGTCTTTAGGCAGACGTCTGAGAGACGTTGGGTTTTCTAACATACGACGTCTTTAAGATGCTTTTAAGGCGCCTTGAAGACGTAAGCAAACGTCTAAAATACTTCTTCAATGTTGTTTGTGGACATCTTCAAGATGTCTTTGTGCTGTCTGGGGATAAATCAAGCAGCCATCAACTTCGACAAATAAAACCCAACAATCAAAATATAACTACAATTTTATATTAAAAAAAAAATACAAATCAAAAATGATAAATATTCTAATATTCTTCACCGCCTTCGCCTTCACCCTCGCCGGAATCCATGCCGACTTCCTCGTAATCCTTCTCCAAAGCCGCAGTGTCTTCGCGAGCCTCAGAAAACTCACCCTCCTCCATACCCTCACCCACATACCAATGCACGAAAGCTCTCTTAGCATACATCAAATCAAACTTATGATCCAACCTGGCCCAAGCTTCAGCTATGGCGGTCGTGTTGGACAACATGCAAACCGCTCGTTGCACTTTGGCTAAATCTCCACCAGGTACCACTGTGGGAGGCTGATAGTTGATGCCTACTTTGAACCCAGTGGGACACCAATCCACAAATTGGATGGTACGTTTGGTTTTGATGGTACCAATAGCGGCGTTCACGTCTTTAGGTACCACATCGCCTCTGTACAACATGCAACAAGCCATATATTTACCGTGCCTAGGATCGCACTTTACCATTTGGTTGGCTGGTTCGAAGCAAGCGTTGGTGATTTCAGCCACGGATAGTTGTTCGTGGTAAGCTTTTTCAGCGGAAATAACTGGAGCATAGGTGGCCAAAGGAAAATGAATTCTAGGATATGGTACCAAGTTTGTCTGGAACTCTGTCAAGTCTACATTTAGGGCACCATCAAAACGTAGCGAGGCTGTTATGGATGACACTATTTGCCCGATCAATCTGTTCAAGTTGGTATAGGTGGGACGCTCAATATCTAAATTTCTTCGGCAAATATCGTAAATGGCCTCGTTGTCAACCATGAAGGCTGCATCAGAGTGCTCCAAGGTGGTATGGGTGGTCAAAATGGCGTTATAAGGTTCCACTACAGCAGTAGACACCTGGGGGGCTGGATAAATGGCAAATTCCAGCTTGGATTTCTTGCCATAGTCAACTGACAGCCTCTCCATCAGCAATGAAGTGAAACCAGATCCAGTGCCCCCGCCAAACGAATGGAAAATCAAAAAACCTTGCAGGCCGGTGCATTGATCGGCGAGTTTCCGGATTCTGTCCAACACCAAATCCACAATTTCCTTGCCGATAGTGTAGTGACCGCGGGCATAGTTGTTGGCGGCGTCCTCCTTGCCAGTTATGAGCTGTTCCGGGTGGAACAGTTGCCTGTAGGTTCCGGTTCGGACTTCGTCGACGACGGTGGGTTCCAGGTCGACGAACACCGCTCGGGGTACGTGTTTTCCGGCACCGGTTTCGCTGAAGAAGGTGTTGAAACTGTCGTCGCCGCCTCCAACGGTTTTGTCGGACGGCATTTGGCCATCGGGTTGGATTCCGTGTTCCAGGCAGTACAGTTCCCAGCAGGCGTTGCCGATTTGGACGCCGGCTTGGCCCAAGTGAATTGAGATACACTCACGCTGAAAGGGAAAAAGAAAATTAGGTATTTATTAGTCATGATTATCATAAACTATTTGGCAGATATAGATTTTGATGAATTTCAGTAAAATATTATTGCTGAATGTTGCTAGTTGACTGATTTAATAGGAATTAAAAAAAAATATATATTATTTTTAAAGCAAATTATTGACTAAATTACTTGAATCTATGCACTTACCATCTTTCAATTATCGATGAATGAAACTCTTTGGAATAAATCAATGAAAATGCACGAAGACGTTCGTTGAAGCTCACAAAGCAGCTCTCCAAACGAATTAATAACTGAAATGATGGTTGCTAATTGATTGTTTATAACAACTTCACAAAACAGTTGCTGGCATTGCCTACCAAACAAACAAACAAATTTGTTTAAGGTGTGTTCAAAGTTACGAAGTTTCAGTTTTTTTTTGACAATACGAGGCATGTTCTGGAATAATAAATTATTCCGAACAATTTTATTTTAATAAAATAATTATACACATTAGTAGTTTTGTTGAAATGCAATAAAATATATAAACCAAAATGTCAAATATTAATATTTTAACTAGTTATTTCAACCGCGTGTTTATTTTAAATTGCCAACTGCAGATTTATTTCCAAATAAACTGTAGGCATTGAAAATATTTACGCGGTAACGTAAATACCAAAAACAAAATAAATTTGTAAAAATATCATTTAGGACTTTTCAGTCTCCATACACAAAATTATTGTGAGATTTGAAACCGATATCTTTAAAATTTCGATAATTGCCAGTTGAAGTAAAAGAAAACCTCTAGAATACAGGCTTTAATAAACTCAGAATATCACTATACAGAGCATATGCAGAGCATATAATTACATTGACAAACTATCAAGCACAGAACCTGTCAAGGTTGACAAATAATAAAGAATTTGTGCGAATAAGATAACAAGACATAAAATACAGGACATTTTAAAACTTTCTAAATATATAACATTCACCCCTAGTCGGTTTTATAATCTTTCAAATAGACAGGAGACTTCTTTTTACGTTTTGGTCAGTTCAAGGAATAGTCAGTTATATTTTCTACAACTTCATCGCCTAGATTCCTTAATGGTGTTACAAGTATCCCATCAAGATTTCCAGCATCAGAATTGTTGTAATTGAGTCGTTGAATGAGATCTGGGTTCACTACATTGGTCATTGTTTTGATCAATAGGTTCGATTCTATACGTTCTACATTCTACATTTATATCTTCATCCGACGTTTCTTGATGCAGAGCAGAATCTCCTCTTGGCGCAAGGTGGCGTGTTGACACAGTTACTTCTTTACCATTAGCTAATCTGATATGAGCATAATCAGAGTTAGCTTCAAGAAGTTGCACTTCTTCCATGATCGGTTCATACTTGCTTTGTCTTACATGCTTCTTTAGGAAGACTGGACCAGGGATACAAAACCAGGTTGGAATTGAAGAACCATTTGTTCGAGGATGACAGAACATTCTTTCTTGCGGTGAACAATTTGTTGCTGTACATAACAAATACCTTAATGAATGTAAAGAGTCGATTAGTACCTGCTGCCAATGTCTTATATCCATGTTTCTTGATTTTAGAGCTAACTGAATGGTTTTCCATATAATACCCTTAACCGTTCACATTGCCCGTTTCCTTGCGGGTTATAAGGAATAGTGCGACTAGTTGCAATCCCATGTCGTGTTAAGAATGTTTTCATTTCTTCAGACATAAATGATGTCCCTCTATCACTATACAGGTACAATGGTGTCCCAAAAACAGAAAAAAGTTGAATTAAATAATTTATAATAGTTGATGAGGTCATGTCAGGACAAGCAAAGCCAAACGGAAATCTATAAAATTCATCCACAATAGTCAAAATATAGCGGTTTTGGTTCTCAGATGGCAATGGACCTTTAAAATCTACATTTATTCTTTCGAAAGGGGCAGTAGCTTTTATGATGGTCCCTTGATTTCTATGAAACCTTGGTTTGATCTCAGCACAAACGGTGGCTGAAATTCTCTTGATATCGTCTAGTGAGAAAGGTAGATTCTTACATCGGACTTAGGGATACAGTCTTATTATATCAGTATGTATCTGCCACGATATTTTGATTTCCAGATCTGTATATGATATCATATTTATAAGATGATAGTTCCAGACGCCACCGCATTATTTTTTAATTTTTTATTTTAGAATTACTCAGTGAATTAAACATAAAAGCGACCGATTTCTAGTCAGTTACGAGCTTAAAGTAACGTCCATAGAAAATGTCTCCATTTTCGAAGTGCTCCCACTATAGCATAGACTTCTTTTTCTACAGAAGAATGCCACTGGTTTTCCAGACTGCATCAGGTGAGCAGCAAGCATATTCCGATGCGTCAGTTTCAACAGTAAAAGTGGCTTCATCGTCACTGGAAATAACAACAGCGTTTTGTATAACAGTCTTCATCTGTTCAAATACAGCAGCTTCACGAGCAGACAATGGAAACTTTTTAACTCGAATCAGTGGATGTATTTTCTCAGAAAAATTATGAATGAATTTGGAATAATGTGCAAACATGCCTTGAACTCTCCTGAGCAAAGCAGTATTAGTAGGTAGTGGCAACTGAATCAGTGGTTTAAGTCTGTCTATATCTGGTATGATTGATTTTCGTTCTATTATATGCCCTGGTAGCATTTTTCTGTTTCCTATTTGGTTACCGCTACATAGAGCGCTAATCTTTTAGGAATTGTAAAATTATATCTGGCATCGCGTTTCCTATTTGGCCAGCGCACAAGGTCTACCGCTACATGGCGCGCTACTCCTATAGGACTTGTTAAGCTATATCCGATGTCGCGCTTCGTATTAGACCAGCGCACATAAATTTAATACGCTCATCTTGCCAACCATCATGCTGTTACATGACTTTTGACATTAGGTTGGTTTTTAATAATAATAATTAATGAAATAACTTGCAGAGTTCAACTTTTTTTATTAAAAAATAAAATAAAAAATAGGCCTTTTTATCTTTGTTACTTTTCTACATAACTTTTCAGCATTAGATGGTCTGCCTACTTGTATCGCTCTACAGCCTGCATGTAGCCGTCCTTATCTCTGCACGAGGTGCAATCGAAGTTGCTTGTACTTGTACTTTGATCCGGCATCCTTATTTTTTGGTTGCTACAGCGGAACAAATATAAAATCCCTGTTCATTTTCAATATTATTTATTTTAGTATTCAGTTCTTTCATGTTTTTTAGCATATGTTCGGATGTTCAGTTTTTTGAAGTTTTCTTCCAATGACTTTAGTTCTTTAGCATATTCTGCGGTGATATTAGGTCTGTTTCTGCAGAAATCACAAACCAGTCAGAGCGAATTTCATTGGTTGAAAACAGTAAGAAACAGTCAGAAAACTAATTTCAACCAATGAAATTTATTCTGACTGGTTTGTGATTTCTGCAGAAACAGACCTATTATCATTTGCATGATTTTTCCCTAATACTTATGTATATGTTCCTTAGATGACTGAACATTGGAGTTAATAGACTCATAGTTGAGGATTGCATTTGGTACAGACTGCATAGGCTTATTAATATCCTTCTGACCTTCTGGCAAAGAAAAAACAAATGGGGTGTGGTTATCAAATTAACACCCGAATTATAAACTGCACAAAGGTACTTGCAAAATTTACCCCTTGTCCCTGCAGGACAATCACACTGTTCTAGCGTAACATGTACTTTGTACATAAACTTATTGTCTTGTGAAGATGGGACTATATATTACTGTCAAAAGATCAGATTTATGACGAAACTTTTCAAAATATTAAGCTTCATATCTCTACCAATCACAAATAAAATTATTTTTTGCTTGTAAAACTCTTCTAGAGAAAAGCATACAAAATCTGCCAATGAGGCTGCATTAAATGCTTTGCATTTGTGTAAAACCTGGTCTTTGAATATGTGTATAGATACCTCAACAACATTGTCGGTATTGTGACCTCTAGTTCTATACTCGTTCATAAAATGATGACACCACTCATGTCTCCTCTTCCACATATCGTTAAAATATTCTAGAAATAGTTGATATTTTTTTGCTATAATTTCTTCGCACAGTGACGTCTTGTTTAATTCACTATCAATTTCATTTTGTGCATATAGTACTCTCGGAAAAGAAGCATCAAATTTTCTGTCCCTTAACCAGCGCCACACACTGCTTGAAGACCATGGAATGTGCAAAGCAATGATTTAGACTGACACGTAGTATCAAACTCTCTAATTATCTCTTCCATAACGCCAGAATCAACAGAATAATAAAACGAGAAATATTCAAAATTATTGCACCACCTATGACCACCAATTAACCTCGAAAAATTACGATAATGAAATGGATTGCGATACAATGGATGCCTGCAGATGATCGCAGAGGGTGTGCGCTGGTCTAATAGGAAACGCGATGTCAGATATAATTCAACAAGTCCTATATGCTTAGCGCTCCATGTAGCGATAGACAATGAGCAATTTCTCTTTGTCTATTAAGTCAGATTATATTTCCTAACAGCTTCTAAAAATCGTTTATCATGATGCTCTTTATTTTTACCACAGATGGTTACGTCGTCAATAAATGCATATGTGTCTTCTAAATGTTCTTGTTTGATAATGTTATTCATATTTCTCTGAAAACAAGCAACGCCATTAGTCACTCCAAAGGGAATTCGAGTGAATTGGTATAGATTTCCACATGCTACAAAGGCAGTGTATATACGTTCATGCTCTAGAATTGGTATCTGATGATATGCACTATGAAGATCTATCGAACTAAAATATTTATACTGAGAAATTTGGTTGACCATATCTTCAATCCTGGGTAACGGGTATGGATCCAAATGTGTATATCTATTTATGGTCAATGAGTAGTCTATAACTATTCGCTTCTTATGATTTTTCTTACTGGTCACTAGCACCTGGGGAATTGCTTGGCTCGATTATTTTCTCTTCTAAAAGTCTTTTGCAGTTCAGCTTCAATGAATTTTAAATCAACTGTGGAGTATTTGCGGAATTTAATTTGCAATAGGCTTACAATTTTCTGCCAAATGTTCAAATAAGGGATATGGTTCTACCTTAGCGATAGTCAAATTACATATGGAGATCGGCGGTTTGCTTCCCCCGAAATTGAATTCTACTCCTGAATGTTGAGAACATTGTCACAACTGCCCGCTTTACGGGGGTGACATGGGGGGTCTATAGCTTTGGGGGTTGATTGAGAGAAACTCGCTCAAGTTATATAAAAATGTACGCTAGTCCTATAAGATGCATGACCCTTCGAACACTGGGGTCCTTATAGGGAGCCACACGTCAACGCTGCTTTGGGGACTGTCGATTTGTTATCGTCACCCTTATGACTTGTCCAGAGGGGCTTTCCCAACGAGAGGTAATTGCACTGGACAACGATAAGGCTGAAA